TCTCTCTCTCTCTCTCGCTCGCTCGCTCGCTCTCTTTGTGGGTACCATTGGTCAGGACTTTTGCTTTCCGTACGGTGTGCATGACCGTGTCTGTTGTTTGCTGTCTCAGACTGCCTCATTTGGCTTGCAGGGTAACCTGTACTCCCTCCGTATGCCTTCCTTAAAGTGCCCGCGCCCTTTGATCTGTTACATTTTCGTTTCTCGAAGTTGCCTGGGAAGGTAGTGGTGCTTTAAGTGCCCTCGTCCTTTGATATGTTTTTGTGCTGATTAAATTATAGCTACTCGTTCCTGCTCCTCAATGTGGGTCCTTCCTGGCTAACATTTACTTTTCCAATTATCCCTCCTTTTCTGTGTTTGTTCATTTGCTTTTCATTCCTTCCCTCTTGAACTACTTCGCCTGTGATTGGTTCCTACATCCGCTTGCTCATTTTCCCTACATCTTTGCCCAGTTGTTTATTCTTTGGTGACGGACTGATGGGTATTTTTGTGTGTCTGTCACTTGTTTGCAGTTGATTATGGGTGTGTTCTGACAACAGCTGCTGGTGGAAGCTTGCCTTTCCCTTTCTTTTTCTTTTTTTTCTTTTTTTTTTGCCTTCCCTTTCTCCGTCTTCCTCCGAAACTGCGTTTCGGTACATTTCTGCTGATTCTGACTGCTGCATTGCTGTCTGGTTTATCTACAGGACCTGGACAAGCTTCACCCTGGTGGCGCGTTCGACCCGTTCAACCTGGCAAGCGATCCGGACACATTTGCAGTCCTGAAGGTTAAGGAGATCAAAAATGGCCGCCTGGCCATGTTCTCCATGCTTGGTTTCTTCATCCAGGCCTATGTCACTGGTGATGGCCCTGTTGAGAACCTCGCCAAGCACTTGAGCGACCCCTTCGGCAACAACCTCCTTACTGTCCTTGGAGGTGGCATTGAGAAGATGCCTACCTTATAGATGGTTTACTGCTGCCAGACTAACGGGAGGGCCTTGAGGCTAGCCAACTGATCTCATGCAACAGGCATAGCTAGATTATGAACTTGGGGGTCCGTCACTGCCACGTGCTAACATGGATGTCCACCCTCTTGGGTTCCTCGCACCATGTTGTTCGCATGGGCAGAGGGGGGTGGCAATCAGAAAGCATTGCAATGAGAGAGGGAAGGAGAAATAGGAGAGAGGTGCCAGCCACATGGCAGGCAGCATCTTGGAAGAAGAAGGAAGACATTCAATAAGTAGGTTGAAAAAAGACATGCAATAAGTAGGTTGAAATTTTAATGTACAGCCAGAATGCGATGTTGGATAAGGAAAGAAGAGGGACCAAGGGAGAGAATGAGAGAGGCGAGGCTGTGCTTGTGTGCATTTGATTAGCCGTGAAAGTCTCAAAGAGACCAATTCTGTTTCGTCTTTAGTGGAATCTTGGTGGGGGGGGGGGGGGAGGAGGGGGGATGTTGACTTCCATTCAATTCTTGAGTGTCACCTGCTGTACAGTGAGGAAATGCGCCGACTTTTACATAGATGTATTTTTATTGTGCTTGCCAAAGTCTCTC